CAGCATGTAGTTAGTAAGCTTCTGTTCTTGACACAATGGCGTGAGAAGCAAAGCATCACTCCTGGTTTCCTCCCACTGCATGTTAAGTACCGATCCTGCAGCCTAGAGCGCAGCAGATCTCTTGTCAAAGCCAGACCCAGCAGCTGGAGGGTGCACTGAACAGGGCTGAGGGGCATCTCCGTCTCTCGGGGTGGATTGTCTTTTCAGTGAACAGGCATTGAGCTATAATGACTGGAAGGAGGCATAAAAAGACCTAGGTGAAATGCATGGCATTTTTCAGTTTTAAAAAAAAGATCACTGGCAGTATTTATTTAATATTTTTGATATTAATTTCTTTAATCATTCTGTGACAAACTTGGCTTTTGTACATTTCTGGGAATCTGACTCCTTCCTGGTCTACTGCTCAGGCAGGCTTTAAGGTTTTTATAGAGATTGAAACATCTGCTGCACAAGAATCCACTTGTCCCTCTTGTGCAAACCAAGTGTTACTGTGGAAGCCCACACTGCATGTTTTGGTCTGGTGAAACGTTCCTTTTTCGGTTACAGTGCTGTCATGCTGACCATAGCCAGTTCTAACAGCACTGCTTCTTGACTGAGAAGCTGAAAAGTATTAATTAGAGGGGAACAAGTGTTGATAGCGCTTGTGAAGTTTGGGTTTTTTGATGCTAAATTTGTGGCATTCATCTGTTTCTGTGTGATCTCGTGATCTGATCAGTGCTTTGGGTATACTGCTGGATTAGCTGTCTGCAAACCCTTTGGATCTCTCCTTTTACTGGGGCTGTTAATACTTTTTGTAATCAGCCTAAAATGGTCTCTTCATGTTGCTGCGTTCTCTCTTAGATGCTTGAAATCCTTGCTTTAGCATCTTTCAGCAAAAACAGGGAAGACAGAACTCCCGTTTGTAAGGTACAGAAACTCATCAGAGGCTCATTTGCTCATGCTTACCGTCAAAAAGATGCAAAAAGGGCATTTCTGTCACCATCTTCAGTAGGTCTGCTTCCATCTAAGTGATGGCACTTTGAGCAACTGCCTGACAATTACTGTGGTGCTGATGAGTCGATTATTTGAGACTTCTTACCCTGCCTGATTTCAGCTGCGAAACCAGAGGAGGGATAAAAGAAGTTGTCAGAGTTACTGTGTAAATGCCTTCTCTTGGCTGCTGTGGCTTGATCCAGTCTGTGGTGAAGGTCTCAAAACAATATTGTAACAGAGTTAATAGTCATCATTTCATTCTGATCCCTCCTTTCATCAGCCCACGCTGGACCAGACACGCTCCAGAGCTAACGCCGAAATGGGGTAGGCAGTCTTCCATGGAGGTAATGTTAATGTGTGCTGAGCGTGCATGCAGGCAGGCTCGGGGCAGTGATTGATGCCCTGGGAATCCACGCTCTGCCTTGCTGCACAATGCTGTTGTGTCCAACCCGGAGCTTGGCACTGGGCAGGCTGCAGTCGGGCGCCAGGAATACGTTACCTAGTTTGTGCGGGGTCAGGCACCGAGACAGAGACAGCGTGTTCTCAGCGGGGCGAGTTCGCTGCTGCGCTGCAGCTTCATACTTGCACAGTGAGGCTGTCTTTGGATGCAGGTCTGCTGCTAGGCGGGGGCAGGAGTCCTGCAATTCGCAGTCCTGACCTCCGCCAGTGTGAAATCCCAGTGTTTGCTCAGTTGTGGGTGAGCCGTCCCTCCCTCCCCCTGGCAAGCAGGGATCACCCATCCTTGAGGTGAGAGGGGATGGTGCTTGGCCAGCTGTCAGGAGCCGTGACTCACTGGGGATCACAGGCGGAGCCCGGCTCTTCCTGCAATCCCCTCCTCCCTCTC